TCTCTCTCTCTCTCTCTTTGTCTCTCTATCTGAAGATGTTCTAGCAGTCAATGGTATGTTTCTGCGCATGGGTTGCACCGCGTGTCTGAGCATTCTGCGCTTGTCTTCTAAATATAGGATATCGAAGGTGTGCTTGTGATCAACATTGGCAGCTACATGGGGGGTGTCGATCTTTGGCAAAACGAGGAAGAGCATGACGATGATTTTGGGCAACAATATATGCACGATAAGCGATTTGAAGTGGTTGGGATCTATGGTACCTGGCATCTGGGAAAGCTTCAGGTGAGTCATTGGCAAGCCCTGCTGCCATTCTTTCTCCGAGTCGTTCCCTGACTGCTCTGCCCTCCAATTCTCCCCTTCCCCCTTCTCATCAATCCCCCTGTCCCCTGTTTCTGTCTCTTCCCCTTTCCCCGGGTCTTCAATGGCTCTTTCCACCTGCCCTCCTTCGCACCTCCCCCCCCCTTTCTAGCTGTGCTACTCTCTCACTCTCTTTGTGTCTGAATCTCACGGAGACGAAAACTCTGGTAGAGAATCTTCCAATTGCAACAGTTGCTGTGAGTTGCCCCGTTAGCTAGAATACTCGAACATGATCAACGGGGAGAAACAATGCACATGGCATGTCAATGAGGGTAATGTGAAGTGCTAGAGGGCGATATATTAGATACCCTGAAAGATACGGCAATAAAAAAAATAAAAAAATAATGATGCAATAACCCCAGTGCACATATTTTCTTCTACGCCAACTGAGCCCGCAATTATTCAAGGATGATCCAAGCATGACTGTGCCGCTGGGGGCGAGAGAGAGAGAGAGAGAGAGAGAGAGAGAGAGAGAGAGAGAGAGAGAGAGAGAGAGAGAGTCTCTGAGGGAGCAGTACTGATAATAACAAGCAGAGGCCAGCTGCTGCTATGCAGCGGCACAAAAAGGGAAGAATGACGCAGGGCGGCAGGAGCAAGAGGGGCATGAGTAAACGGAGCTATGAACATTGCGAAGACCTCAACTTCAGGAATAATTTTATTATCACTCGGCATTTGAACCCATTACCTGTTTACGAATGTGTGTGTGTGTATGCCCTGCTCATCACGCGCTCAAGCTTAGGAATTGTTTTGTCATTGTCCAGGATTCTTTACCGACTGCTATTCAGGACTTGAACTCATGACCTGTTTATCAACAGGTACATAAAGAGTTAGGAGTTGAAGATGTGCCCATTCTGTGAGCCGCCACATGTCTGAAGTTGTGAGCTCGTGGCCTGCATACAAACAGCTGCATGTGCGGACAAAAGCCATTTGCGGTCATGAGAGCACCAATGCCCGGCTGCTCTTATCTGATCAATATGATGGCCTGCGGCACTTCAGAAATGATTGCTCTGTGCATCCTCTTCCGCCGATGTACACACTGGGTGGATCAGCCTCGTAGGCAGGATGCTACCGTCTTCACCCAAATAGAACGTACTGTCATTGTAGCTGTATTTGGTGTGGCTTTGAGTCTGGATACAGTAAAAATGACCATACGTTCTATTCGGGTGAAGACGATAGCGTCCTGCCAGCCGGCCCAATTCTGGTACAAAGTTCGGGGGTGAGGATCAGAGAACTCAGAACAGACCTTTCCTGCACTCTACCTCAGCTGCTGGACCAAGGACTCCCACCAAGGACCCCCACCAAGGACCCCCTAGCCCTACCAGTTAGGACCTCTGCTATGCCTGGCTCTTAACGCAGCCTTGACCTAGTCCTGATTTTTGGGCATCAGGCTTCGTGCTACTTGGCATTCTTTTCTTTTTGTTTTGGCTTTTTTTTTTCTGTTTTTTTAACTTTTTTAAACTTTTTCTTTTCTCTTCTTCTTCTTCCTTTCTTTTTTTTTTTTTTTTTTTTCTCCTGGTGCTTCTTGACATTCTAGATGCTACAAGATATCATTCTAGCTCTTCAACTGGTTTCGGCACATGTTAAGCTCCCTCGTTCTGATATCGATAATTGCGGTGGCTCTTACTATGTACTCAAATTTTAGTTTGTGGCCCGGCTGTTGTTCGTTTGGGGGTGCACCATTTGTATTATCTTCCGTTGAAGACAATTGAAACGGTTTTCACCTTCACGGTAGCAGATGCAGTTCCCAGGGCTCGATCCCTGGGCCTCGCCCTCACCCATGTACAGTATCAGTTGACCTGTGTGAGCTTGAACCCGCGACCTGTGTCCTGAAAGGCATCTGTTTGCTTGCTGTTGATAGTGTGGTCGTCGGGTCTCAAGCAGGAGGTCCATAGATTAGCAGTCGTAGCAGTGGTAGGGGTCGTCGCTGCTACCGTTCCGAAAGGTCAACGTAGCTGCGACAGCACCGAAGGCTCGCATAGGTTAGACTGGGTCCTTCTAGAACAGTCTACTTTGCCCCTTCGTGAGTCCTTGCTAGGAGTCCGTAGGCAAGTGGGCAAGTGGGCAGTCTATTAACTTAGCCCAGTCAGGGGTACCCAGTCCGGGTCGCACCTTGTCAAGTCAGCAAGTATCATGTGGGACTGTGTGCACCTCGGGCCCAGGGTCCAAGGGCAGAGCTTTGACAATCGGAAGATTAAATAAAGATGCAGTGTCAAGTCATTCATTCATTCTGCGTGTGAGCCGCGCGGAAGCGCTGTCGGAGTGTGTTGTGTACGGAGGTCTGCAGGTGCCCGTTGGAGAAGAGGGCTAAGAGGAGGAAGTCAGCCATAGCCGATCTTGTTGGTAGGGAGGAGGAAGACGGCGGCCATAGCCGCCATGTCAGAGATTGAGTGGGCGTTAGTGTGTGTGTATGAGTGTGTTGTGTACACGTGTGCGGGACATCCAGGGAGATCCAGGGTGTGTGTACGAACAAGTTGCTAGGAGTACAGTGTTCGGCCATAGCCGAACAAGACAAGTTTGAATCTGAACTGTGTTGGTGGCTTCGTTATCTTCTCTGAGCTTTGAGTGGGCGCAAGTCGCCATCTTGATCGTCATCTGTTTGTACGCATGCTGAGAGTCGAGGCAGACAAGTCCGATTGCACAATCCCACCCCCATTTGTATTACCTTCTGTTGAAGAAAATCCTACATTTGTATTACCCCCACATTGCCCACAATTAAAAAGTTTCCAAAAAGATTTTTCTGTCCGTCGTTTGAGATTACGTCGTAGGAATATGAGCAGATACATCTCCAGCTTGTGCTTTGCTCAATTACTAATTGTCGTGTCTCTGGCTCCAGGTGGGCCTAGCACGGGCATTGCGATTAGGCCAGGGAAGCTCCATCAAGTTGATGACACGGGTAGCTTTTCCTGTGCAAATTGACGGCGAGCCATGGATGCAGAGCGCCGGATGCATCGAGATAACACATCATGGGCAGGTCAGCGTTTGTCGGGTTCCAGCAAATCACTTCTTCTTCTTCACATGACAATCCTATTCCTGCACCCGGCGTCTTCTGTGCAACATTTTCCCCATGTTTCTTGTATTTTGTTGTGTGCTCCCGCCCTCTCTTGTCCGCTCCCTCCCCCCCTCCCTCCCCCACCTTCTTCCTTCAACGGGGTTGTATACTGTCACAAGCACCCAATTGTTGCTGCTCTTCCTTCAAATGGAGAGGCAGCCCTAGAGTACACACTTTTCAGGGTTCTTTCTTCTTTTTCTTTTTTTTTTTTTTTTTTTTGTGTGTGTGGTCCGATGGACCACGGATCAGATATTAAACTGATCAGAACAGATACTACACTTGATCTTAGCCAAAAGCTGGAGAAAGGTATTTTCAGGGTTCTTTCTATGATTGGCTCTTTCTGAAATGTGTGCTCAACTAAACCCCGGCAAAGTAGTTTCAATTCCGCTGAACCTATATTGACCTGCTTGCTTATGCTTGCTGGGTTATGCTGAAGCTTGTCCGAGGACCAAGAGTGTGTCGAATTATGACAATCTATGATTAACTCTTCTGAAATGTGCAGTGAACCGAACTCCGGCAAACTGGTTTGGATTGTGCTGAACCTATGTTGAACGACGTTAACTGCTTGCTTATGCTTGCTGGGTTATGCTGAAGCGTGTCTGAGTCACTGGCAAACTGTGGCTGCAGTTTTGTTACTGTTGAAAGTGAGAAATAACCTTCTTCTTGGGTTGCGCTCCCGCCCTCTCTTGTCCGCTCCGCCCTCCACCTTCCCTCCCCCACCTTCTTCCTTCAACGGGGTTGTATCTGTGTCACAAGCACCCAATTGTTGCTGCTCTTCCTTCAAATGGAGAGGCAGCCCTAGATAGAGTACACACTTTTCAGGGACACAATTTATCGCCGCAGGAGCATTATCCGTGGCAACAGGTTGGCACTGTGTGCAGCTGCAGCAGTACCGCTCCCCCGGAATAGAACATATGGTCATTATAGCTGTATTTAGGGCAAACTTTTGCAGTCTAGTTACACCTATAATGACCGTATGTGCTATATTTGGGCGAAGACGGTAGTCAAGCCATGTGTTGTTGTGCTCCTTGTGAAATGTCGAGCCAGGCATTATGCTCTGGGAATGGAACCGACTCCCGAGCCTGCACGCTTGTTGTCTTCTCTAAGCTTGTGTGGACATGCTTGTTTTGCAATGGGCTTTTCTCTGCGGTGCAGGCATTCATGTTGAGGCGGACTGCTGGCGAACCCGTCAGGCATGCAGTAGCAGTGATGGGGGAAGTGCTAGAAAATGCAGAAAGCAAGGGAGTGATCAACGCTCCACAGAGAAGGGCGCTGCTGCAAGAAATTGCCTTACGATTGAACTGATGAGACAAAAAGATTCCAGGGTTGAAACTTGAAATGCTGTTTGCAGGGCAGTGGATAGTGGGGGACCGCCACACGAATGCAACCCACACTACCCTACCCTACCCTACCCTGACCTTGCGACCGGACACATTATATGTGTACGGGCAGGCACGCGGTGTGACGGAACAGAGGAACTGGTCCAGCAGGGCGGACAGCACGGGGAATTGCACGATTGCGACGGCAACGATGCGAATATCAAGAAGCTTTGGTGCAAGACGCGGCCACGTGATCGTGCTTTCTGGCGCATTGCTGTCTACGCCGACTCTACAGCCAGGCTTTTCCACGTACCATATTCCATTGAATGCGCGCCGTGTTATACTCATCCAACAATGTGCCCCAGCCATCCGAATGTGGACAAGGTTACCGACCAAGAACATTACGGAAGACTGCCACAGGGGAGTGCTCCTGCATTTGGTTGCATCCGTCCGTCGCATGTGTTCTACTTTGTCTCTGCATCTCTGCAAAGCTTCACAACCTTCCGTTGAATCTGGCTCATATTCATCGCATCGCATCGCATCGTTGCACTCTCTGACTTCCCTTGGTTGGTCTCTCCTAGTGTTTTAGAATCCTTTTGGGTTATTAGGCGAGTGTGGTTCTGTATGCGGAAGAAGCCTTGTTAGGCCAGGCTGTTCAGATGAGGATGCCTGCCCCATGCCAGGCCAGCTGTGATGCGAGGCCGTTTCCTAGAGTCCAAAAACATGTGCTTCGTAGCATATTAGACAATTCTTCGGCCCATCCCATCCATTTTGGGGTGGTCTATCTGTGTGCTCCTGGACCTGGCATTGCAGCAGTATTGCTGGGTGTATGACAAGGATGCCCAAGATCTGCATTTGTTTCTCAGTGCAAGCTAACAAACAAGAGAGTCACAGATGTGGAGGCATGGGCCATCCCCAAGGGAGGGCTGACGACATATCATGTCAGATGAAAATGCGTAGAAGGGTGAGTGTGCATTGTTTCTATGTGTGTGTGTGTGTGTGTGTGTGTGTGTGTGTGTGTGTGTGTGTGTGAGAGAGAGAGAGAGAGAGAGAGAGAGAGAGAGAGAGAGAGAGAGAG